CTTTTCATGGCTGCGTGCACGTCCATCTTTCGCGCTACGTAAAACACTTCGTGGTTTGCATCGGCTAAATCTTCTATCATCGTCCATGACCTTCCGTGCTTCGTGTTGCTCTTCTATCCCATCATTTTTCGTGTTCTTGCTGAGTCACGTGCCTCCGCGCAAACTTGATCACAAACGCTGTTCCGATTTTGTTTGATGTACACAACATATACTGTTGGAAAGATCACACAATATCTTAAGGTCGTGTGCAAATACAGAGGGAGATGATACTTTTCCCGGGGGCAGTGTGGGGTGCAGGGGGGTGTCGGGTGGGAAGTCATAATAGTCATATTTTAAAGTTTTCACATCCTAAAGTATCAATTATTAATAGTAGTAGTAGAAGTGTGATTTATTATAAACGTTAACATAATAATTATGTGGACTACTACTAAAAATAACTGCAAGCAAAAATATGCAATGTCTTAAGAATAGTACTACGCAAAACAGTACTGTAAGTTAAATTATTACAAACCTACTACGAAGCAAATCAAATCATATTTAAACCAATAAGTACTAATGTTTTGATTGAGGCCGAAGTATGAGTCACCGAAGCCTACAAATTTTATCAACAGCACCTACGACGATAGAGAACGAGTGTGCTCATCGGCGCCTTTTAATTCAGCTAACTAACGCGTACACAGGCAGCGCCCTTCGCGTGGCCTTGCATACCGCAGCTGAAAATGAAAGCAAAATGAAATTTGAGTGGTGCTTGTAAGTACGATGTGTTGACCACATATAATATGTACACCACATATCACAATTTTAGCGAATCGAAGCCGCCTTCGCTGCGCTCGGCAGCCAGTAGAACGCCCGCATTAGCGTTACATTTTAGAACCCTACCCTCGGACGGACTGACGGACTGACGCAGAGCACACTCCACTAGAGGGGTAAGACTAGCCGTTCGCCGCCGCTACGCGGCGGAGTGGCATGGTTTGTTGTAGATGTAGTGGCCACGAATTTAAGTGCTTCGTGGTGTCGCGTGTTTTGTGAGCGTCGATCACCCAGTAGATCTTAGCTTCGTGCACTTAGCGACTTACCTTTCCGAGTCTCATCCGGCCCCGTATAATATCGTTGTTTGGTACGCTTTAGTTACCCTGTACTACAGGTTGGATGTCATGTTCTACAGTGGAGGCGCTCTTCCGTGATATTTTTGGCTTCGTGGTTCCCTGCTCACCCGTGGCCCAGGCTGCTTAGTGATTGTCCTAGATTTGTGAACTCATTCTCTCACGGTGCTTAGTGGTTGTGTGCTAGCCTTTTTGGTGTCATGTGCTCCCGTAGCACGACCCTCTTTCGTGGCTGCTAGATATTCCGTGTTCTCAAGGGCTTACGTGTACTACACAGGCATCGTGTCCATGATCATTCATGGTCGATAGCATTCCATTTTTGGTACCCTCGCCAATGGGTGATTTTACGAAGTTTTCTGTCCCCTGTGTGCCGCGCACCCCTGTGGTGGCTTCATCTACCGCGTTGTCGCGCTATCGTGCAATCACAATGTGGTTATGCTGTTTATGCTATCGTGATTGCATAGTATATATGTTTTGCCAATGTTATCGCGCTCTACGATGGTTCCGTGTCCGCGGTGTGCAATCTTGGTCTCCAGAAGCGTTTCCCCGCGATTTTGTGGCTGGTCGGCCGTCCGGGTAAACGTGTTTTAATGAAGTATCGTTCTCAGTGGTCCGGCGATCTCATGCTCTACTGTGCTATCGTGCTCAGTGGCTCGGTGATTTCCCGTGGCTGCTTGCTCTTCCATGTTTTAGTGGCTGTCCCATCGTTCATGCTATCGTGCAATCGCTTGGTGTCGCGGCTGGTCTGTCCTCCAAGCTCTCGTTATCTACAGTAGTATCGCGCTCCCCAGTGAGATCCGTTTTCACCCTGGTATCGTGCTCCAATACTCGGTGATTTCTCGTTTATGGTCTCCCGCGGCTTTATCCCTGGTCCGTCGACCGTACTCCGTGCTCTACCGTGGTGCTATCGGAGAATTGCTGTTAGTGCACTCTTACCGCTACGTGTTCTACCGTGGCTTCGAACGTGCGTGCGCTTCCGTAGCCGTACATTTCAGCATGCTGGGGTGTCTATCTATTTAGTTCCCTTCTGTGGCCCGTACGTTCCTGTCATGTTCTGTCCATCTGTCATTTTCATGGCTGCGTGCTCTTTCATCTTTCACGCTACTTATAAAACTTCGTGGTTTGCATTGGCTAAGTCTTCTATCATCGTCCATGGCCTTCCGTGCTTCGTGTTGCTCTTCTATCCCATCGTGTACATAGTGTAGGTCGGTATTCCTTCGTGTTTCGTGTCCTTGCTTAGACATGTGCATCCGCGCCAGCTTAATCACAAACGCTGTTCCCATTTTGTTTGATGTACACAACGTATATTGTTGAAAAGTTCACATAATATCTGAAGGTCGCACACTACGCGCGCAAATACAAAGGAAGACAATAGTTTATTACGGAGGTGCAGGGGTGTAAGCCACGATAGTCATATTTTAAAGTTTTCACATTATTAAAAAGAGTAATACAATTGTTATTTATTATTAAACGCTGATATAATTATTATGTGTACTACTACTACAAATGACTGCAAGCAAAAATATGAAATGCCTTGATAACAGTACTAAGAAAAATATTATTGTAAGTTAAATTAGTACAGCAGTACTACGAAGCCTAAAACATCATTATATATCCAATAAGTACTAAAGTTTCGATTGAGGCCGAAATATAAGTCATCAAAGCCTAAACTTTTTTCAGCAGCTCCTACGACGATATAGTACGTGTGTGCTTATCGGCGCCTTCTACTAATGCTAACTAATGCACACACAGGCAGCGCCCTTTGCGTGGCCTTGCGAACCGCAGCTGAAAATGAGAGCAAAATGAAAGTTCGTTAAGTACGATGTGTAGTCCACATACAGTAAGTACAGCACATAATGTCTGTTTTAGCCTATGGGGGCCGCCTTCGCTGCGCTCGGCAGCTTTTTAGCGAATCGAGGCCGCCTTCGCTGCGCTCGGCAGCCAGTAGAACGCGCGTATTTGCGTTACATTTTAGAACCCTACCCTCGGACGGACTGACAGACGCACACCAGACTCCACTAGGTGTGTAAGACTAGCCGTTCGCCGCCGCTACGCGGCGGAGTGGCATGGTTTGTTGGAGATGAGGTGGCCGCAAATATAGCGCTTCTTGGTGTCGCGTGCTTTGTGGGCGTCGTTCAACCTAGTACGTCGTGGTTTCGTGTAGTCAACCACTTAACTATCCGTAATCTCATGTGGCTTTGTACAATATCGTGGTTTGGTACGTTTCCGCTACCCCGTACTACAGGTTGAATGTCGTGTTCTTCAATGGGCTGTGCTCTTCCGTGTTCTACTTGGTTTCGTGGCTCTCTGTTCACCCGTGGTCCACGCTGTTTGTGGATATGCGCTCTCTTTTGAGCTTATGCACTTTAGTACAGCCTCTTTCGTGGCTCCTAGCTATTCTCTGTTCTCAAACGTTTACGCGGGCTGTACCGCTTTCGTGATACATAGGCATTCGTGGCCGTTGGCCTCCCATCGCCGGTACTCTAACCAAAGGGTGTGTGACAACCAGTCTTCGTACAGTCGTTGTTCTTTCTGCAGCAAATATTTATCCATCGCCGACTCAAATGCTAATATCTGCCAGTCACAGTACTTCGCCGAGTTCACGCGGACATATCCCTCACTGGCCAGTACTCCATGTGGCTGCCATTTTATCACATAAAAGTGAGGTGGCACCAGACTGACGTCTGTCGTACGTTCGTAATCAGGTGATGGGTTGGTCTTCCTCGGCGATTAAAAACAACCGTCGGATTCCAACCCTTCGTCCGTCGCACCCACAAGTCATGCGTCGACTCACTGGGTTGTCGCCTGGGCAATTTGAACTCAGCGGTCATTCGACTTTCGATCGTCAACCCGTCTGGTGGCCCGCATGGGACATTTGGTCCGAACTCGGTCTTGGTCGGTGCATTACTTGATCGGATGAGTGGGATCACCATCTCATCGGGTAGCTTTACCGCCGAGTTGTACAGATCCAGACGGATTCCAGCTGGGATCATGAAGTTGGTGCCGAGAATCAAATCGACTCCGGCATGATGAGGCATTATCCATACTTCAAACTCGTATGCCACTTCCCAGCCGAGTGTCACCTTCACCACTGCTCTTGACGTTGTCACCATCCTGTCTTTACTTATTCCTTGTATGTCAATTCGCTTATCTCTGCTGGCCACTCTCTTGAGACGCAGTTTCCTCGCGAAGTACTCACTTATCGCCGAGACATTTGCTCCGGTGTCCAATAGTATGTCTATCCTTTGGTCGCTCACTGCCCCCAATACGAGAGCTCTCATTCAAACTCGG